TTTTCCTACGCCTTTCAACCTCCAATGTCTCATCATTTTGCTTCCTTCAGTTCTCAGCCACTTCTCGCGACCTTTTCTTCTCTTACTCCTTATTAAATAACCAAATATCAACGTACAACAACCATTTACTCCCCAGTACAACCATCAATAACCCCGAACCCCAACAATCATCAATCCTGCCATATCATCCTCGGGAATGCCGATCGTCCGTGTAAATGCAGAATAGAACAACACTCAACTGGAAGGGGTATCATCAAAAAGGCCTCTGCGTTCAATCATCATCATGCCGATCTCTGTCGCTTCAACCTGTACCCTCGGATATGCTATCCCAATTGACTAGAAATTCATCGAAGGAGTCGGACTCGACGGGTGGTGGCAATGCTGTCTCGGGGGACGGATCACTCCCCAGCGGCGTCATGGAAAAATTGTATTCGAACAAGTCATCATACTGGCCCATGCTGTCCATCGATTGTTGTACGCCAAGGTCGATGTTCTGTTGATCCACCATAACATAGTCCATAGGGAGATCAACTAAACTGGTGGGAAAGTCTCCATGAACTTGAAGCGGAAGTTGCTGTGCATGCGTCAGGTTGGATGACGTAGCAAGCGAGGCTGTATCCGATTCGGTCCTGGGAGATGACATCGAAGAAGGATTCGACCCTGGATTTGAGAACGGGGAGAATGAATCGTCCGACACGACGCTAGCTGGAGCTGTGATGGGTGCTGGCGCTGCTCGAGGTGATGAATTTGCCGGCAATGCTCCCGCCGACGCTCGACGGTATCTGGCAGGATGTTCAACCGGCGATTGTTGCGGCAGCGGCTTCACAGCAGAGTATCCACTTCGCCTGATGTCGTAGCTTGGGGCGGCGCGCGAGGTGTAGGAACCGTGCTGGGAGGGATGATGAGCAAAAGACGGACGTGGTCCTTGTGAGAAGTCGGGGTTCTCTTGCATTGAGAGATGCCAGGATAAGCGCCTTGAAGAAATGGAGGGATAAATACGGGCAAATTCCTCATCAACGGGGTGTTGGGCTACGAGGCCCAGTTGCGGGTGTTGGAGAGACATTCTATGGCGATAGTGAGCAGCTCGCGTTCTTTCATCTTCCTCCTCTTCGTATAGCTCATCGTTTAGGATGACTTCCTCGGTGATCTTGAGTCCTTTGCCCGTCAGTTCCTTGTGGACGGCAGATGCCTCCAAGGCTGACTTCAAGCGCTTGTCAAAGGACCGATCCTTCCGTCTGGATGCAGCAATGAAGGCCCGCTCCTTGTTCTTGAGCTCTTTGATTCTCTGTTCGCTCTGCTGCTCGGGCGTCAATCCGTCCTTCAGGTGCTGTTTCAACAAGGATGATATCAGTATCGAGATCAATATGGTGGGATGTGGGAATTTGGTGTGGAGTGCTTACTGTCACTTTGGCTGCTTTTGGGGAACGAGGCTTCGACATGACTGCGATAAGGGAAAAGTCGATGATGTGATGGCTGTTGAGCTATGATTGAAGGTACCAGTGGTGAATTTTATAGATTTCCTGGCGACATAAAGATGGTGAAGCGGAGAACGGGCAATCCATCTGGGGCCTTGGGGTATGTCCATATAGCCACAAAGATTGGGGGCGTTTCCGGACTCCATCTGCATGCGCAAGTTTCTACCAAAAAACCCGATGGTGGGAAAGTGCAGTGATCTCGATCTGGGTTTCACTCTTTCTGTTATAGCTCATGTACCTGTCGTACCCCTGTCCACGGCGGGAACGAGCTGCAAGCAAGCCTGCAATTGCCCCCAGCAGAGGCTACCGGATGCCAGATTTTGCTATTCCCACTCAGCCCCGGAAACACCAAACGAACATTTCGGTTGAGAGAAGAATGCTTGCATTGGGACTTTCCGTCAAAGCTGTCAAAACTTTCAATTAGACAAAATTGGGACGAATTTGGTGCATTTCTCCACTAATATTTTGACGTCATAATTACTTTTGACCCCATCTGGAGGGAGGTGCAGTACTACCATGCTCTTCCCTTTGAAAGTTCAAACGAAACACAGCAGGGAGGGAGACATGCAGCCGGAGCAAAATCTCCGCCAGCCACTCAGCCACTCAAGTTCCAATCACTCATATTTGCCAAGCTGCATGCCACATGCGGGAAGCTTGCGAACTGCCAAAAAACCGGACCACAACCTTCAGATGTTTTTCAATATGGGAATTTTTCACCGAGCGATTCTTCACATGGAACAAATCAGTCAATCCCATCGCAATACCGAAACCCGAACTACGCTACGTAGGGCACGGTATGGCAAATCTGAAGAATCCCATCTTGTTTGCTAATTTCCTAATTTCCTAATTCGGTTCTGAGCAAGGGTTTTGATTGGTCGATACCTCCTCTACCCCGCTCCACGATGTCATCGTGATTGAACGCTGTCAGTCTGGAGCAGAAGCTCCCTTCAGTCCAGTATCCCATTCTACGGACTACCGCATACACCAACACTGTTCTTTGCCCCTTCCGCAACCAGATGCGGGACAAAGAATCCCCTCCATTGGATCGACCAATTGGATTGACCGGTCAAATTTTTTATTGGTAATTTTACATATGCACGACGGGATATTGCCTCAATAAAATTTCCCAGTGTGTCGTCACCTTTCCCCCAACCCCACCCATTGCCAGCCTGCCAATCACCATTCCGGGAACACTTCCACCTATCTCAGTTAACCTGACCATCTGATACCTATTCACATTTTCACAATTGCAGCGCAGATCAGACAAGAAAACAAGCTTCCCTTCAGTGAGAAAGGTCAATCATTTCCCGATTTAGCGTGTATCCCATCGAGATCTAACTCTGGAAGTTCCCGTAGGAATCCCCACAAACCTTCATTAGCGGAATAACTCGGACAATTGACTATCTCGTCACTGCTTGTTCCTCACGACTCAATTGCCAACAAGTGGACTTCGGACACATCCCTCAACCATTACCACACATATAATTTACCTGGCTTGCGTGACATTGGACCAAAAGAACCATCCAATCTGAGGCACTTTAAAATATTACTTGCATTATCTGGAAGTATATTATACGACTCATTCAACTCAGAAGAATTTAGATATCTGCCCGGGGTCTCGATCCAAGACCTTGTGGTTCTACCCCGTCAACCAATAAACTTGAATTGTTAAATGTCCGAACATGTGTTCGCCGTCATTCAAGAACCCCATATTCGGTACATCCCAAGTAAGGGTCCTTTTACTCTCCACGTCATATCAGGGGAAAGTGTTCCAGCCATCAGGGACTTGTGGGTCCTGATGAAAAGCTGAGGCTTGTTTCAATTTGACCCTGGACGATATTTAGAACTGTTATCCTTAAAGTCACTCACCTCCTCACTCACTCACAGGCATACACACCACACACTTCTCACAAAGATCCTCATTACATGACGTACTTTGGAATTCTACATACAACAGAATATCTGTCAAGAGCCTCCTTTCTTCTTCGACAGAATTTGGTTTTTTTTTTCTCTTTTTCTCTTTTTTTTTCAAGCGTCCAATGGCCGACAGATTTTACGAGCCATAGGGAGTATGCAGGATGGTTCTTGGTGTAGTAAAAAGAAGGGAGTGTGCCACCAATCACAACTATCGTGGCCACTAAATATTCCGGAGATAATAGTCCGGAACCACTAGCATATTCAGTAGGTAAACCATTACATCGCCACGCCATTGAGTGAAGGACCGGGAGATTTGGAGAGAAGTGGTGAAAAGGTAGTACAACGTGTTGAGCTTTTTCGCTTCGGCATTCCCGTTCGGAGAGAATTCGGCATGGCGTGGCGTTGTCTTTGTCAACTCTTTCTAATCGTTCACATTTAACCCTCCTTCCTTTTACAAATAACATGGTCTACTCACAAAAAAATAATACAAACTGATGAGACGTATATACACTTCCAACAAGTGTGAAAAAACGAAAACATCGCCTTCCCAATCTGAATCAATTCAGGGTTGATATAAATTTATTTTAGATCAATAATTGTAATCCCTCAATTCCAAGACAAGGTCTCTTCTCATCTCTCTTGCGTCCCTTTTTCAAATACAACCCCCTATTTATAAATCGGCATTGGTAATTCTAATCAATTCACTTTTCTTCGTATTTTTGCTTCAATACATCTTCATCATGCCTGACGGAGGAGCCCACTTTATCACTCATATATATATATATATATATATATATATCTTTTCACGCTCTGCGATTTATTACCTCCTTCCCACACACACACATACACACACAATACAGCCCTGGTCTTTGTTTTTTTAAACACCTATATACAACCCTACCTAATCCGCTCAAAGACTTTGGGCTTCTCTTTCTTCCAACAAAACCACTTTTTTATCTTTCTCAAAAACTTTTATATGGGAAAACCCACGCAATGGCTTTGTTTCGAATTCGTTTTTATGCCCAGGTTTTATTTCGCAAGATTACTACTGAGTGTCACGGCCCTGGCAGTTGTGGCTGACACCTGACAGTGCTTGACAGGTGTTGTAGCAGAAGCGTTCTCAAAAGACCGGCTTTCTGCAGGAACATTGGAATTTCCTTTTTTTCTTCTTCACCTTGTTATCAATTAGACTACATCAATGTATTATACTGCAGCTCAGCCTCTTTCAATTATTGGTTCGTCACACTGAGTATGTATGGGAGGTGTGATGAAGAGAACATTCTGTTTTTTTGTTTTTTTGTGACGGCTGGGCACCGTAGAAACCATATATATACTGCAATTGAATTGTGAAGTGTTGACTTTACAATTCGACGGTCCTTTTGGAAGGTTGGTCAATTGGTTATTGCAGTGCCAGTCGTCCCAGCCATCACATTTTTCTTTAATCAGTTACTGTTAATAAAGAGAACAGGAGTATGCTGTTTTATTTTGTAGGTCACTTGCAGTTTAAATAAGATGATAAAAAGGAATAATAAAGATAACACATACCAAGAAGTTCAACAATATACCGTATAGTAAAAATAATAAAGGTTTTGAGGGAAAAAAAGGATTTGTCTCCGGTCGGATTCGAACCGTCGTCTTTCGCAGCCTTAAATTCAAGTTTCGCTAGATAAACATATAAACGCTGAGAAGATAAAGCCACACAAACGGTGACCACTACGCTACGGGGACTGTCAGATTGAATGGTTGTGTGAAACTTAGAGCAAGAAATCGAAAATAAATAGTTCATGGGTAACTGGTGGTTGTGGTGGGGTTATGTGGCTTTACTTATGTAGTAGAGCGTGGGAATGATATATAAGTGGTGGTAGAAAAAGGAGGACTGATTCATCGAAGAACAAGAAAGATGATGATGATGATGATGATGATGATGATGATGATGATGATGATGATGGGGGAAAATGCAGAATTTTGATTAGACGATTGGCCGCTGAAGATGATGATAGAAGGACGACGGGAAAGGTTAATAAACGGCAGTTCGATGAAAATTATTTGAAAAGTTCCAAAAAAAAAAAAAAAAAAAAAAAAGAACTTCGCCGTTGCGAACTATTTGTTATTTATTTCTTTCCTTGGTTGAGTATTTTTCATGTATTTTTTTCACCGACGTCATTAGATATTCCTCGACCACTTAGAAAAAATATCAAAGAGTTGTTGTGCACATGAGATATGAGATTTCGGCTTTCCGTGAGAAATCTTGGTTCTCGTTTTGAGTTATTTCAACCAGGGATTATACATTTTACATTGGAAGAGTAATTCCTTGCATCTTCTCTTTTTACTAATTTATGAATTTTGTTTACTGCATATCAATTTTGTCATCTTCTTTTGTTGGCGTCTTGACAACCTGGCTCTGTAGTATTGTTGTGGTTGTGGTTTGTTGTTCAGTTGATATAAAAAAGCAAGCTTTCTTTGAGTGAAGGAAATGTAGTATTCTATATGATCAGGGCGTCTTTTACCTCATTATTGTGATATTCAACTTTTACCTATTAGACAGACACCTTCCTCCTGGTTTTGGTTAGACTTTGTCTGGCATTTTATTTCCATACCTATTATGACTTCGAACCTCCCATCCCGATCAGATAATCATCATGAACAGAGAAAGAACCAGTATTTCATTAAAGAACTTAAATTTCCCGCAAAATATCACACGTCAAAACTATAAAGGCTGATTACTTTTATGATCCCACCCCTCCCACCCACCGCCCTTTATACCTCATCCATTATCATGATCATCATTATTACCAATCAACCCTTCCACCCAACCTAAACCACCTCATTACCCTCCTTCTTCTTCTTCTCATCTTCCTTTTTCCCCTCCTCCCCCCGTCTCAAAACCCTCTCCCTCCTCTCAGCCCTCTTCTCATCCCTAGCCCTCTCCTCCCTCATCCTCTGTATCAACCTACTCTTCCCCCTAATCCTATCCCCCCATTTATAAAACATGAAAGGAATAGGAATCAACAAAACCTCCAATAACCCTAAAAATGTTCCCGCCCATCTAGGTGTCATGGCTTTATACATTGCTGGCCCTGCGAGCGGTAACAAAGCCCCCGCTGCAGACCTCAAGACTGCATTACCCGCCAAAGCCGAAGCCGCGTATATCCCGTATGCTCCAGCAATATAATTAGATCCGTAGATGAATGAGAGAGTATTTCCCATTCCGAAGAGGATACCGAACGAAATAGGAATGGCGGGATGGATTGATGCTGGGAGACAGGTCCAGGAGAAGGCTAGTTGGCCTATTGGAGTCAAGACAGCACCGATGGACATTACGAGTGCCGTTGCTTCAGGGGAGGCGCGTCCAGTAAGTGGGTCTCTTTTAGGGGAAGAATTAATGATGCGTCGCCAGAGTGGTTCCAAAAAGATTGAGAGGAGGGTGCCGAGGCCGATTCCAAGGAATGAGAGACCAGTTTGGGAAGAGGACCAGCCGCGATGTTGGGAGAAGACGATGGGGTAAGCTACGAAGCAGAGGTATAGAATGCCGTAGATGATTGAGATCCTGTGAAAGTCAGTAAAACGGCTCGAGAGTGGTGAAGGAGGGAGAACATACCAAACATTGAAGAACCAGAGAATGGGTTCAGTGACAGCCAATACGAAAGGTCTTTTAAGCCCCTCGAGGATCACTTCCTTTTTACTCAAATTATCATCCTCATATTGACACCAATACCTTTCATCCCCGGTTTCTTTTCTCATCTTTGCGGTTTTGGCTTTTACCAAAGCAGGATGATAGGTTTCTTTGACGCCGTAAACCATTACCAGCGCCACTCCTCCAAGAATTAAAGCCAACCAATTTCCCCATCTAATTTCTTTTATCAGCACACACTCATACTTTCAAATAGATACTTTAAATATACGTACCTCCACCCCAAATAATCACCCACAAACCCTCCAATCAACGGCCCAGTCACCGGTCCATTCAACGGAGCAATACTCCACAAACTCATCGCAAGCGCCAATCTCCCCTCTTTCGAAACATCAACGACTGTTCCAGGACTATTGGATATCATTGCAGCGCCAAAGAGTGCTCCTACAAACCGAACTCCTACCAAGGTAGCCAAGTTTTTGGCTAAACCGCAGGGAATAATGAGCAAGACAAAGATGGAAAGACAGATTAAGTAGATGGGTCGTCTGCCGTAGAGTTCTGAGAGAGGGGCAACAATCACGGAGCCAGCTGCGAGGCCAAAGAGGTAAGAGGTTAGACCTAGAGTTGCGACGGGGCGGGAAGTGATGCCAAATTCTTCCATTATTGGCGTGAGGGTTGCTGTGTAGGAGGTTGAGTAGAGGACAATGAGCCAGGTGGCGTAGGAAATCGTTACGAGGGTGTAGGTGCGGTACCAGAGGGGCCTAGACGAGAGTTAGCGAGGTGATAGAGAAAGATCTATGCAGTATTGCTGATGGTGTGTCGATATATAGAGAAGAAAAAAGGTCAAAACATATGAAAGGAAAACGTTATATGAGAATGAGGCTCAAGATAACAAGATGAAGGAGAAACGGCAAGTATGAGTAACTAGTGCCAGTTCAAACTCGTTTTATGAACCTGAAGTAACAAGATATGAGAAAACAGTGACAAATAAATGATCAACTCACCAATTCTTGGGATTGTCAGGATCATCAGCCTCCAAAATAACCTCAAAATCCGGTGGTCTCGACGCAACAGACCCAATACTCGTCCTCCCCGTCCTAGTCCTCGTAATGGAAGTAGTCTGCGCTAGAGCATGTTCAAGCGGTTCAAGCGGGTCAGGATTCGAGTTGTCTGACGACGAAGTAGACGAGATGACCGAGATGGTAGGAGACAATGCAGCTCCATGATGGTGATGATGATGTCCATGTTGTGAGATATCCCCTTCTATTGTTGTTGTAGGGGATGGGTGAGTTTCGTATTTCTGAGAGGTTGATGAGGGCTTTGGATCAGGATCCATGATTGTTGTGTGTCTTTTGTTGTTCGGCTATCGTCTCCCGGGGAAAGAAAGGCAAACAAAAAAAAGAATTATGGAAAGAAAGAGGGAAAGAATGTCCCAGTGAACTGGGTAAGAGAAAAATTATTTTGATCACGTATTTATTTCATCACAAGCTTGCAGTGATATGCAGTGAAAATGAGACCGAGCACCCGTCAATACCCTTTTTGACTCGAAAAGGGGGAAGAAGGGAACACAAAAACGTTTCGTCGCTCGAGGGGGAGGGAACTTTCTCCAAGCACAACAGAAAAGTGTTCAATTCGGATCGACGTTCCAACTAGCGGGAATGGAAAAGGAAGAAAAAGAAGAGCGAGGTTATTGGTTAAAAATAATAATATTGAATATCTGTTTTTTATTACCACCTTCGGAACAGGACCCAAGCATCTCCCCAACTTCCAACCACGCTATACCTCCACCTTAAATCGTCAGTTCCCCTTCTGATTCTTCCATTGCAAGGTTAAAAAGAATTTTTTTTTTTTTTTTTTAGTTTTAAGTCCGTTCGGTATTCCCGTTAATCCAGTAGCGTGGAAAACGGGCAAGTTAGTTAGACCATGTTTGGCAGGAGGGGACCACTGCAACGGATGAGGGAGTCCCTTTTCCCCTTGTTATCGGCTAGTGTTCTTCTCTCTTCTGATATCATTTCAATGCCACTCAATTCCGAATCCCGAACCTTTTTCTTCATTCACCCAAACCATGAAGAAATATCTGGAAAAAATCTGGAGAAATGAAGAATCTGGGGAAATAAAGTTTATTGTTGAAACTCCAAAAATCCACAATTGTCATTTTTTTCTCCATCATGTTTCCCACTTTGCTTTCAACTTTCAATTATCCCCAGATCTACTTGCCGTCATAAGAAAAATGCTGTACAATCTCAAAGAGAAAGCAAAAGGCCCTCCTCCCGCCTCATTTCCGTCCGCCTTGCGTAGCACTCATCTCACTTTTGCTTTTTAACTTGCATTGACCATTGCAAAAAACGTGCCTCGGCATTTCCCATCAAACCATTTGTTCTCCACTTGGTTCAAAAAGCGGATATCGGCACCATATTAAAAGCTTACAAATCAAAAAGTACCTACCAACTACACACAAGTTCAAGAGCAGTGTATTTCGTACAAGAAAGAAAGGTTTACTATATATATGCCGTTGGATTAATATAAATCGTTGCAGAATTTAAAAGGAGATATGTAACCGCTAGGTCCTACATATGTATGTATGACCCCCAACTCCAGGGAAATATGCCAGTACTTCGGGACTCGGATGTATCGGACAACAACAACAACAACAACAACAACAACAACAACAACGGAAAGTTCACTTCTTGCCGTGTGTCTGTATAACTACAATTGACGTCTGTTAAACTCGGGACTTTATACACTTCTGGACTAAAGCACCCTAATAAGACAGAAATAAAATAGACTTTCCTTGAAACATCAAAAGTACTTACTCTGCATGCAGTTTCGAAAAACAAAAGAGAGAGAGAGAGGAACCTTCTTCGACAACGCAAAAACAGGACCTTTCCTCAAAACCCTCCAAAACCCAGCATCCCAGCTCTCCACACGGATTTAGATGCACCCAGATGGTGGTAGTCGGCCGACTGCAACACATCTACTTCATCACATCCAACCAATCACATCTCATCAACTAATCTGATCATCTGATATAATTCGGAGGGATCAACAAACAACACTTGACAACAACACGCAATCCTTCGGAATGATCACCATACAC